GTACCCATGATTAGGAAGTTGCAGCAGTGCTACTATGGAGAATTTTTTTTTTGTGCTTTTTGGTCTCTTCGGTGCTGGTGGTTGACATCTGCTGAGCAGCCAGACCATGGTAAAGGATTCTCGGTTTCCTATTTTGCAGGACAGGGTTTAAGACTTTCTCTTTCTCACTTATGTTTGTATTTTTTGTTCCCCTTGAAATTCTTCCCAAGTGTCAGATCTTGGATCAGGTCAGACTAGATCAGAATAATAATCACCACTTGCTTTTTATCTCATTCTAGCCATTTTGGAAAGGTGAACCAAAATACTTGATATTTGTTTTTCTTAGAAGAATAATTTAAAAAAAAAATGAAAGAAGGAAGGGCATTCTTCAACATATCTGACACACTGGAAAATAAGGAGATGGAAAATGTGGCAATCTAACACCTGGCTACAGTAATTATATTTGCATAATCAGTAATTGCTTGGGTGAAAATGCCTCTCGAGAGGGAACTGCAGGGGTATCCAGTGCTCATAGCTAAATGGCAACACTATTTAAAAAAAAAGAAGTGTGAAAACACCCTTACATTTGCTTTGGAGCATATTCTACCAGAGTAGTTATCTATAAGGGATGTTGGGTTAGCCAGGCTTTTCTGAGGTTTAGTAAAGTTGCAGAGCAGCTCCATAAAAGGAGACATCATTAATGCTGAGACCTTCTGTACTTGTGAGAACACAAGTTCCATGGTTCATATGCTGATGACCTCAGTATTTCCTACATGGGTGTGATAATTTAACAAAAGCATGGGAGAGAGAAATAGTATGAACAACAGAGAGACAAAGAGACAGTATGGGAGAGACAGAATGCAGCTATTTCTTGACAGCTGGGATAATTTCTGCATGTTTTCATTGAACTGTTTCCAAACAGACTGTTGTCTGTATTGTTTAACTCCCCAACCACACTTTTCTGTGGTTAAGCAGCACAATATCTTCATAAGCAAAGGGGAAATACATTGAAGAACCATTTTCTCTGATAGTGGGAATATGGGCTTCTTAACTTGTCAAGCTACTATATTTAGCAGAGGAGTAATTCCAAATGTATAGGTGAGCTGTTTGATTGTGTACTTACCTAACACTTAGATATTTCTTGTCTTCCTATATTCTAAGATTTTTTTTTTTTTCACAGGAACTGTGTAATCATATATTTGTACCATATCTTGCATTGGAGTTCTAGTTTTATAACTTTTTGATGTTACTGTCTTATATATTAAGCAATAGGAATAACTTATTTATTTGTATTGCATGGTGACAAGAGTTATTGCCTGGACTGACCATCCTCATTGTGAGCAAGGAGCAGGGTTTTTGAAACTGTAAATCAAGTTTTTGAAGCTTGGGCAAGTATGAAGTACATATAGCATTTTCCATTTTGAGAAGCTCTGTATAGTAGTTTCTGTACAGTCACTTCCCTTTTGTTATTTTCAGCAGGTAGATACATTTTTTTTTTTTAATCAACTCTTTAGTGTGACTTTGAAGCCCATATTTTTATCTATTTGTTATCCTTATTGCAATAGAGTATTTTTATACCTTTATTACTGTTCTAACCAAGCTTTGTTCCATAGGCCTAGAGGCATATATCTATATTCAGAAAAGGGGTGGTCCAGCTTTGATAGGTTCCCGGGGTTCACTGGCCTGTGATATTTCCAAATCCTCTGTGAATACTTGTGCCCAGTTCAGACAGCATGCATGAATGTGATGGTGAAATACTACCATTTTTTTCAGTGAATTCAACCTTTTTCTACTATATTAGCCATCTTCCACCTCCAAAAACGACCATGAAAAATGCCTCTCTGCCTCCTGTGGTTTGACACTGTATAATTAGCCATTGGACTAATTTTATCGCTCTGTAGCATAGATCTGTTGCTGGAAAAGTGGTTGTGGGTGGATTTCTCATGGCTGGCTCATGCTGCACCTCTGCTTTCCAACTACTTCAGGGCCTGGGCTCTCCCTTGATTCTGCCATACGCCTGGGTCTAGAGCAAGCTATTTGTATTGCAGAATAAATTCAACACAGTAATGATGTGCAAGCTGTCCCATTATAAAGAAAAAACCATTGAAGTAGGGAGGGGAGAGGAATTACAGTGGTCTTTTTAGCATTTTTCTTGAGTCATTCCTTCCTGCTCCTGTGCCCCTGGGTTTAATAATGGGAAATGCTGAGCTAAAACACAGCTGCACACCTGACAATTTGAGGGCTGCTGCCATTAATAACTGTTGATTCTGATGCAATCTGAAACATGTCTGAAGTAGCACATTTGTATTTCATTTCACATATGTTAAGGGGTTTTTTTTAATCTGTAAAGTGTGCAAAGATAGAAAAATCTTCTCTAATGTTAGGCTTAATTTGCTGGTTTGGGTTGCAAGGCGGGCCAACTTTGAGTTGGCTTAATTTAATTTAGCATCTCATGGTGAAGCAAACTGAGTCACCTTAAATCGTGAAAGTGCACAAAGGGACAACTTAAGAAATATGATTACTAGAATGATGTGCTTTGTATCAGGATGTTTGCTGTATTTTTTTCCAAAATGTTAGTTGATTATCTTGTTGGATTCCTGTCCTTTTCTTCCTGGCAGATGTATGCTCCTTTTGAGTGAGCACTTAATGCCAGAGTTAGCATGAAAATCTCCCAGTCTTGGAGGAGAAGGAGGGTTCAGAGAAATGATAAAGCCTGTTCCTCTAAAGAATGCCCACCATTCCAGATAAAAAACCCTAATGCGTATCGTCTCTCTCTGTCCCATAAGCTCAGTTAACCAGCAGAGGGAATCCAAGCAATGAGTACCCCACTGGACACAGAAAGTTGGGCAAATATGTTACAGAAGTGGCAAGCATTTTTAATTCTTTATATGTTATTGTGCAGGAAAAAAGACATGGAGAGGTGTCTTCAACACAGTTACGTGGAGCATTGAATTCTGTGCTTCATGAAAGAGCACGTCTCGTTTGGATCCTCCTGTTCTGCCTTGGCTAATCTGGCAGCCCTGAAGTTGCCACATCTGCCACACAGTGACAAGGAGAGGGAGAAGCAATACTTGCTGCTGTACCAAGTGTTGTAGAATTCAGTAACTCAATTTTTGTCATTTCCATAAACGTATGTTTGACTTAGGCAGTTGAAGTTCAAGTAAGGGGATACCATAAAATAAACAGAAGACTTGAAACAGATTTTGATAAAAAAATCCAAGGTTGCATATTTGGTGCAAATTATTTTTCAGCATAACACGATATAGCTTTGTAGCACAGATCATGATGATGTTTGATTTGACTGTTTTTGCTGGTTCATTAAAATGCCTAATTATTATTCTCCCTGCTCCCCCAATTTCAAAATTGGGGTTTATTTTGGGGTTTGTTTGTTTGTTTGTTTGTTTTTTGGTGTCAAATAGCAGTTACAGCTTTATCTGAACTTATTTCCTGTCATTCTTCCGGATGCTGGCCATAATATAGATGAATTCTTCATGCACAATTTCTTTGCCTGCTTTGTTCCTAACAATATAAGTGAGAGACAGAGTTCTAAATGTTTTTTAAATGCTGATAAAACTTCCACGTTTTCCATAGGTAGTAACTATTGTGTTTCTGGGGTGGTGGAATCATGGTGGCTGTATTTGAAGTTGCTTTTTGCTTCTGTTTATAAAACTGTATTTTCAATTGCTTATGATTGTGCCAGACTTATGTTATTTCGGCTGAAATTTCCATCCTCAGGAGAGAAGAGGGCAGCTGAGTGAGGATTGGAGTATCTCAAATAATGCAGTAGTTATTAATTATTTCCACATTGTGTGAACAGCGTCCATCTTTCATAAGCTGCACTTTGAACTGGATGTGTTGGATGTCCTCGGCAATTCAGAGTTTTTGACATGTATTAGTTTGGGACCAGCCATGAGCTGCTGCCATTTTTTTTTTTGTTCTGGATTCCAGTAGAAACTTCCTCTCCTATTAGAGACTTGATTCCCCAAAAGAGAGACGTGGGCTTACACAGCCTCCATAGATTCATCATTTTGGTCTCAAAGTGTATGGTTTCATTGTTTCCCTTTGACATACAGTAGAGTGTACTGTGAATTTCTGTGCTGGGCTTTCATTTTTAACCTCTTCTACTTCAGGTAAAAAAAAAGTTTTGATCACTTGCCTCAGAAATAGCTACCTTAAAGTCTACTCATGTGTGGACTTTACTCTTATTACCTATTGCTTTTACATATAAACTAAAAGCCCAGCACATGCTGCCTGTGGTTACCGGCTGTTCTTCCACAGAGCTTCCTCTCTGGAGTGTGGAACTATGCTGTATTTCCATGCATTTTTACTTCTGGCAGCACTGCCTGAGCTTTGTGGACACTCCTTCCTTCTTTAAAATCTCAATCAGCAATTTAGGCAAGCCAGACCTTCTCAGGTGTGAGAAGGTGTGTTTGACCTTGCTTCTTCAGGGCTTCTGCTAGCCTTGGTCAAAGAAGCTCTTTCAAACATGGACCCCACCTTAGTCCAGGGATGGGTTTCACCTCCACCTTCTGCTTCGTGCCTCAGCATGAACTTGTTTGCCTGAGCAGCATCCCAGTTTCTCTGGAACTTGGCAAAACATGGCAGTAGCCACAAAATGGTGGGAGCACTTCAGCAACAGAGCAGGGGAGCAGATGAGATGATGCACTGGCACCTATTTCCTGCACAGATTTTAATCATAATTTAAAATCAGCAAGGTTAAAGCTTTTCTTTGTCTGTACTCAAGTTATTTTTTTGTAAAGAAGAGTAGATTAAACCTATGATTACAACCGATGGGAAACTTCATATAGAAAGAAGTGATACTTTTAACTAAGCAGTTACACTGTACTCCGTGCACTTTCACCAGCGTAGATCTTTATACCCCGTGTCTCTCATTTTTCAAATGACTCCTGCAGTTAGAACAACATCAATATCATAAGTGGAAAAAAAGCAAGAAGTTTTTACTGAAAAAAAGAGATAAATTGGTTATATTTTACATAATGGTTTTTGCTTTTCTCTTATAGAAAAAGTACAGAAAAGGATCTGTGGATATTTCAAGAATTAAATGTGTAGAAGTTGTAAAAAGTGATGGTATTATTCCCTGTCAAAATAAATATCCATTTCAGGTATGTTCCTTTTATATAAAATATAAAAATTACATCGTTCTTTTCAAGCGCAACGAACCATTTGGATGCAAATTGCTGTCACTTCCAAATACTGAGCCTGTTCTCTGGCTCTCTGGGGCTGTGTGGGAGGTGGGTCAGGGTCAATGATTAAAAACCATCCCCAGCAAGCTCTGCTCCCCTGTGCAGTCCACTCCCTTAGGACTTGTGCCTCATACACTTGGTCTTTTTCTTTTCCCCACCCTCTCTACCTGGGTTTTGCCTTGAAAGTGCCTTGTCCTGTTCTTCCTCCAAAATGAGTTAGCTGGCAGCCCATTTTCACCATCCTCATTCTTTCACATTACATTAAATTTGATTACCATTAATTTATGTAAGAATAAGAAAATTAAGATAAAACTTTTTACATTTTCCTCCATTGTGATCTTAAGTGGAAATAAACATAGAAAACAAAGTGCTTGGAGGGGAAAAATAAATGTTTAGTTATGGGAGGTTGGATGCTGTGCCTGCTTACAATAGGGGGAATGGATGGAGAGAAGGGGGGGCAATACTTGCTTTCCACCAGTACAAGCAGTGAAGAAATAGAAGGCAGGAATCACCCCAGAGCAGCACAGAATCACAAGGAGTTATGAAATGGCTGGGAACAAAGGATGTCTGATTAGGAAATAGCTTTAGCAATTAAATTGGACTGTTTTTAGAAAACACATGGTGAAGGATGAACACAGCAAAGCGTGAAGCAGACACTTTCAAGGAATACTCACGGGATAATGTACCATTACAAAGTCCTTCTTTATTCTACTGAAAGCATCATATGTGAATAGTAAAACCTGATAACCTTTTCCCAGTTTCTGCATTATGTTCCTGAGTACACATTTGCCAAATGTAACAGTCATTTGCCTTGTTCTGTTTCATCTATTTCCTGATGAATAAATGAATAAATATTACCAAGTGAATGTATTTTGATTATTTCTTTCCCTCACCTCTAGGTTGTATATGATGCTAATACACTTTATATTTTTGCACCAAATGCACAAAGCCGGGATCAGTGGGTGAGGAATCTGAAAGAAGGTAATGGAAATAGCTCATACTTAACTTCTAACATATGTAGATACCTTTATTTGAGCTGGCTGGCTGGGACGAAGTTAAGTTGGTACTGTGTTTTGGATTTGTGGCCAAAGCAATGTGGAAATCACACCAGTGTTTTAGTTGCTGCTGAGCAGTGCTTGCACAGCGTGGAGGCTTTGCCTTTTTCTTGCTCTGCCCCTGCAGTGAGTAGGCTGGGGGTAGGCAAGAGGCTGGGAGGTGACACAGCCAGGACAGTGGACCTGAACTGACCAAAGGGATCTTCCAGGGCATTTAATTTCGTGCTCAGCAATAAGAACTGGGGTAGAGGAAGATGGGGGTTGGGGTTTTCTGGCTTCTATGTTGGCCATTAGTTAGAGACTGGCTGGACGTTGCTCTGCTCTGTAGGAGATGGTGAATGATTGCCTTTACATTGCTTTTGGGCTTTTTATTTCTTTTGTTTATTAAACTGTCTTTATCTCAAGATGCAAGCTTTCCCCTCTTGCTCTTCCTATTGTCTCCCTGTCTCGCTGGGTGGGGGGAGTGGGTGAGTGGCTGTGTGGGTGTTCAGCAGCTGGCCCCATGTCAACCCACAACAAGCTAGAAAAATAAAATGGTAAAGCTCCTGTTGCATGTATCCACTGATTTTTTTCTGGGGGGGGGGACAGCTCATTGTTTGCAAACGCAGCATGTTATAACAGGTACTGGGAGTATCAAGCACCCAGAGTGATATAATTCAATTTTTGAAGTCTAGCTGTGATCAGAATTTGACACTATGCTTTTGCATGACATGTAAATCATTAAAAAGCTTATCCAAACTCGTTAATAGCATCACTCAGAAGTTTTGTCTGAATGTAGCTAGACAGTATTGCATGTCTGGTGATGGTCTTACACTGATTTGAAATGACAGGAGGCATCTCCACTGAGATGTGATCTGGTTAATGGTATCATAGTGAGTGAAGACCTTTTTTTTTTTTTCAAGAGCCTTTTAATGCTTTCTGCCATCATAAAATGCTCATATTAATTTCAGGTGCTCTGCAAAAAGAAATAATTCCTGGGTTGGGGACCACAGGGGGAGGAATAGCCTCTGAAACTCAGCAAGCCCGTAGGATGGGGATAAGAAGCTTTTCTGACCAAACACAGGCATTGTGCCATAGAATAGCAATAAATCAGTGATCTTTCCCTCCAGAACACTATCTGTAGAGGAAATTGAGTCACTTGCAGCAGTCATAAAAAGTAGCGGGGCAGGCAGAGCCCCCAGGGCCTTCACAGCTGCCTGACTGCGCTGCTTCGCACCGTTCAGGTGGGTGCCTGGTTCCCCTTTTGTGGGTGCAGCAAATGCCCACCCCTGCTGGGGTGACCTGTCCAGGCACAGAATATAGCACTGTCTTCTGGAATAAAGTCATGTATTATCCTAAAAATGTGCTCTACTATCACTGTATCACCTCCATGTAAACTTGCAAGGAGGTCCTTAAGAGAAGCAATGCTAAAGTAAGGACAAGTGAAGATTATGCCTCATGTCAAAGATACTGTAATATTTATTAAAAATGGGCCTCTTGCAGATTTTTTTTTTTAATCTTTCAGTATATGCTCTTTTTCTTCTTGTAGAAATAAAGAACAACAGCAATATAATGGTAAAATATCATCCTAAATTCTGGACAGAGGGAATTTATCAGTGCTGCAGACAGACAGAAAAATTAGCACCTGGCTGTGAAAAATATAATCTTTTTGAAAACAGTAAGTACATATGTTTTCATATAAAGTTGTTTCGGTCTATTTTTCTGCTTTTTTATATGATCCTGTCATCACACCTGAATGCCCTAGATATCAGGCAGATTTGTAGAGCAGAGTGAATCGTTGATACTGTGTCTAAAGTAAATCAAAATGTTTGTTTCCTTTCCAAGCATTTTGTAAAAAATTTAAAAGCCAGTGAACTGTTGTCCCAAAAAATGTTTAGAAAAAACTGAAAGGAATCATTGTGGTTGCTGAACTTATGTTTCACTTAGTTTGTTTTTCCCTTCTGAAACTTATATGACCAACCTCAGAACCAAGGACAACACCTGACAGTAAAAAAAGTTCAGCTAGAAATCTTTGCCAGCTCTTCAGTTTTAATAAATAACTTCTAATTACCCATGTAAAAGAATAATAACCGTGTTGCATTCTGTGTTACTACACTAGTGTAAAAATGATACAGGAAGGCTTAACATATTTACAGACACATGACTGAATTTTCTTAGAGGCTTGTGAACATCCGTATGCTGAACTTGGATGAACCATGACTTCTGTAGGCGCATGCATCTTCCAGCATTCGAATCACAGATTCTGCT